CTTGTTATCTCAGATTCTCCAGCATCTGCAGTTCCTACTATCTCTGATACAACCTCAATAATTATGGTTATTTGTAAGGGTGAGTTATTTAGTTGAAAAATGTGGGATGTTAACATACCACTTGGAGTGGGTACGGTTATGTTTTCTGTACGCATTGCTAACAGGGAATTATGCAAAGTATCATGTGATTCACTCTTAATCACACTTTATTCTGAGGAAAATATTAATTAAAATGTATGTAAAAGATCTCCAACTGTGTAGTATTGCCACCGACTTTTCAAATCCTCAATAAATTAGCCTACTTTTTTGTGTTCTCGAATGCTTTATATGGTTGGTGCCGTGATGTTTATCCACTAAGCATGCACAAGGGGAAGAAAGACACATTATCAGATGTGATGCTGCAGATTGCTCATCTGTAAGCTCCCAGTTCCTAACATCCTTGACAATATCTTCAGACAGTGAGCTAACCAGAATAACAAATAGCAAATGCTTTTATGCCATTCCATCTTTCACCTCCACAATAACTTACACACATCTTTGAAAAAGAAGTGTCAAAACATCAGAGTTTCAAACTTTAACTATCGGATAATTTATTGAACAACAGAGTTACCACTTACTAGCAGCGGAATCAAACTGGCCTAGACTTCCTTTTTGTAAGTTCAGACTGACTTACCAGGGTAACAGTCCCCAGTATTATCACTAACCAAACAGTTATGCATTTGAATTACTGTCAACTAATTTTAAAAGTAGCTGAATGTGTGATAAAATAACTATATCTTTGACATGCTGTGGTTTCGCTTTCCAAGTGGCAGCCTTAATGACAATTTAATACATTTTCACAATATTCGTATTATATTAGGTCACTGTCCTGACTTTTAAATGCAGATAGCTTACAAATTGCTTTGCCTATAATTCAGTTGCAGTTTTTTGGTGAGAAATTCTGTGCGGAAAATACAAACAGAGTAATTTTCACTATTTCTCCAGGGTTCTCTGCGAATGTTCGGTTCAGATGATGATTTCATGAGAGGCTGATATGAATTGACATGAATTAAAGGAACTATTACCTAAGCTAAAATTAAACAACAATTCTTAATTTTTGAAGATTATCTTTGGTTATTTTGTTACTAATCTTTGGAATACTGTATCCAAGACAGCTGTGAGTGCTTATAGTCATTGAATATATTTCCCAAGTGAAAGGTTGATACTTTTTGATGATGTAGGAATTAAATGATACTGGGAAAGTGTGGGAACAGGAGCTGAGGTAGAAGATGGACTATAAATGAATCAGCAGGCTTGAAGTACCAAATAGCCTGCTTTTGCACCAACTTCTTACATTCTTACTTACAGGTGCTTGGACTCAACTATAGCAATAACAGAGGAATTGCATCCAAAAAATGCAATAATAAGTCAGCCTCGTTTTGGAAGGATTGAAGTAGAAAGCATAATTAATACCAAAGAACTGAACATCACAGTGGAATGCCAGTCATACAACAGCATTGGCGAGAGTCATGCAACCTATCAGATAAAAGGAGGTAATAATATTCTTAATGAAAGTACATAGTAAAACCAAGTACTGTTGTGCTTTGACTCTAAAACACTGAGAAAGTGTTAAAATATGCCACACCTTAGTGCCGTTTTAGCACAGTGCAGTTTTTCAGATGCATTCCTCTCCATTTAAATAAGCAGCTCTGTAGATCTCCTGATTTTTTTTCAGTCCTACCTTTCAAATTGTTGTTGCAGGCCAGTATCAGCACTTGATCTGTTGGATTTCTTGCCCTTCCAATATATATGAACGTGTGATTAGTTTGCCTTTTCTGTTTAAATGAAGCCAGTTTTAGGCAGCTAGGCAGCGTGGTTACTCTGCCTGCCTGATGAATATACTGCCTGATGAAGTATGGTGGAGGCAAGCTCAATTGAAGCGTTCAAGGGGGCATTCATTGGATAGCTGTTTAAATAGAAATAATGTGCAAGGGTATGGGAAAGAGTTGGGGAAACGACATTAAACCACAATGGTCATTAGCGAGTAATACGTAAGTATTTATAACTATTTATTAATATTTTGATATTTATCTTTGGTTGGTCTCTTGGTCAGCGCTGGTGTTCAAATCCTTGTCACTTGTTGAAGTACCCATCTTCTTCTCACTTGACACTTTCAGTCGGTTAGGGCTGTAGCTTCTAGATTATGATTGATAAAATAGGTCGGCAGAGATTCGGAGCTGGATTTTTCTGTGGGTGTTGGCACACTGGCGTTGGGTGCACACAGACAGCCCACCCCCACACCATTAGCACGTCCCTTGCCACAACCCTCCAAACGATGACCTCCTAAGCGGCCACTTCCATGCTAACCATCCTATTAAGGCTCCCGGTACTGCCAGCCCTATCAGATAGCTAGCAATGATGTTTGGTTAGCTGCCCCAACAGGAGCTATAAATTGAAGAGGCCTGAAGTTGTTAAGGCCAATGAGTTAGAGGGGAGCTCCCTTAGCAGAACTATTCAGTGATGAGTGTCTGCACTGTCATCCCTGTCTGTTGGAGAATGTAAAACTCTGGCTCCGACAGACTCTGGCCTAACACCACCAAGCTATCCCATTGGAGCCAGTGGTCTCGACACACCATTGAGTGGGGTGGGGTGTCTCTAAGCACCTTGGGTAGGGGGGGAAGGTGTGTTTGGTGGTCTGCTGTGATGTCAGTGAAATGCTGGTGTTGATGCCAAAAAGGTCTCTAAATAAATTAGGGCCCATTGAAGTAATTGGCCTGCTGCCTCCATCGAGCAGGCAGCTGAACAAGTTGCCCCTGGGAAAAGCTCTTTGGAGATGCAACTGCTTTCCTGATGTGACTGCCATTCATTTTCCCAGAGCCTCTATGCCTTCCGCCACCCTCACCATGTCCAAGTCCAAACTAGCAATGCTGAGAAAATCCCATCCATAAACCACAAGCTAAATAAAGGTTTTAAAATCGAATAAAACCCACCTGGGCCAACCTACATGATTATTACTTCTGCTTTTGACTCCTCACTAGCACCACACAAACTTGTTTCCATATCAACAGTTTCTGTTCCAATTTTTTCAATGATGCCTAAAAGCAAATAACCTGGCTTGACTAAACCTGGACTTTTGCTTAGTACTTGGTAAGTGTTTGAGGTAGATTTTCACCCTTGCCCCTTGGTGACCTCTGTTTTAATGCACACGACTTTGAATCGACAGTATCCAAATAGATTTTAGTGCAGATGGTCTGGAATTAGCTAATGGAGTTTGTTTTGGCAGAATATACACTCATATTCTATAAGTGATCAAGTCATTTTTCTTCTTTACTCATAGGAATGCCAAAGACACATCATCTCTTTACACCACTATTGACCCTGTTTGCAGCAGCGGCTGGAGTACTCTGTGTTATTTTAGTAATCCTATTTTACAAATATCAACAGGTAAAGTGTAGCAAAGCTGAATATTTCCAATACTTCAGCGTACTGAATAAAACTTGTCGTTAATAGTATAATAACTTTTTTTTTTAGAAACCCAGATATCAAATTCAGTGGAAGGTAGTTGAGGGAATACAAGGGAATAACTACACGTACATTGACCCTACACAATTACCGTACGATGATAAGTGGGAATTTCCCCGGGATAAGCTGCGTTTTGGTTAGTGGATACTTTGCTTGATTGACATATATTATTCTTATATTAAAGAGTTCAACTAAGCTGTATTTAATTAGCGATAAACCCATTAAAACAATAGATCTTAAGCAAAAAAGACATTCAAAGTAATATTCTGCTATTCAGCTGAAACAGTCGTTTGGTCCTAGAAATAGTTATATCTAGAAAGCTCAGGTTATTTAACCAGAACTAGTCATGTGAATGGATTATCAGGATTTAATGTAAGGAACAGGTAATCGGGTTTGAATCTAGAAAGGTGTTTTCTCAGCAGAGTGTGCACAGAGGGGTTTATCAGCAGACATTCTATAAGATTGTCAAGGCAGAGTGGTTGAAGAATAGGTTTGGGGTGATTAGGGCAGAACATGTTGTAGAAGGGATTATTCACAGTGAGTGAATATGAGGTGAAGAGTTATTAGGGTAGCATGGGATATCAAACTATATTTGAGAGGGATAAATATCAGCACAGTTATTGATAGAATAATCAAACAGAGTCAGCATGACTTTATGAAGGTGAAACGATGGCTGACAAATGCATTCTAATTGTTTGAAGAGGCAACAAGCGAAATAGATAAAGTGAAACTAGTAAATGTAATATATTCAGATTTCCAAAAGGCATTTGATAAGACATTGCACATATGGCTATTTAATAAGATAGAGCCCATGGTTTTGGGGTGAGTATATTAGGATGAACTAACTAATAGACGAGATTTGGGATAAGGGGGACAATTCAGGATGGCAACCTGTAATTAGTGGAGTGCCACAGGGATGAGTGCTGGGGCCACAATTATTTACAATATATATTAATGACTTGCATAAAGGAAGTGAAAGTACTATCAAAATATGTTAAGGTGGCACAAAGAGAGATGGGAGGGCAAGTGGTGAAGATGACTCAAAGTATCTACAGAGGGATATAAACAGGTCAAATGAGTGGGCAAAAATGTAGCAGTACATTAAGAGTAAGAGAATTATCTCATTAGGAAAGATAGAATAACTGTCTTGTGAATAAGACAATACAATGTTAGGATACCATAACATGATTATTCTGCACACTGATATATATTTATAAAGAAAGTGTTTCCCGTATCTAGGTAAAACACTTGGTGCTGGAGCCTTCGGGAAGGTTGTGGAGGCTTCTGTTTATGGATTGACAAAGGCTGATTCCATTATGACTGTTGCAGTAAAGATGCTTAAACGTAAGTAAATGTGATAGACATTTTGTGTGGTCTGGAAATTGATGCTCCATAATCAGTGGAATAACAACTCCAAATCTCCTTTTGCAGCAAGTGCCCATTCAACAGAGAAGGAAGCTCTGATGTCAGAACTGAAAGTCTTGAGTCACCTAGGGCAGCACATCAACATCGTCAACCTGCTGGGAGCATGCACTATAGGAGGTCAGTCCATGTATCCTGTATGAGCCATTTCACACCTCACATCTGAAAATAAATCTACCTTTGGAGTAGTGAAATTGTCAATGTGGTTCAGTGGTAGCACTGAGTTAACTGGTTGTGGATTCAAATCCCACGTCAGAGCACGTAGTCCAACTGACATTCAAAGGCAGAAGTGACAAAATGCTAAATAAAAAACGAAGGAACTGTGGATGCTGTCAATCAGGAACAAAACCGGAAGCTGCTGGAAAAGCTCAGCAACTTCCGTGTTTGTTCCTGACAAAATGTTACATTATTGGAGGTGCTGTCTCTCTGATGTGATGTTAAACCAAAGCTGTATATGCACCAGCCAACTCCTTCAGATGAAAGTAAACGATCCCGTAGGATTAGTCAAAGCATATCAGAGGAGTTGCCATCCCTGCATGTTTACTAATGCTTAGTCCACAATCAGTGTTACTAAATCAGTTGATCTGGTCATTATTACATTGTAGCTGCTCATAGGTGTTGCTGTGTTCAAATTGGCTGTCATGTTCTTTACATTGCAATAGCGACTACATCTCAGCAGTACTTTCATGGCAGCAAAGACCTTTATATTGTTTTGAGGTTGTAGAAGGTACTATATAAACACAGAATCTTCTTCTTTGTTCAATATCCTTTGATACCCTCACATAACAAAATTTTATCAGGCTGAGTCTTGAACATGTCATTTGACACCATTTCGGGTTGAGAAAGGTCCAGATTTCCTTTACACATTTTGGGAATAAAAGCCTTTGTGATTAAATTCTTGATAGTTTGTTTGTAATTCTAATGTATTGATGGTATATACTCTAGGCTTGGAGAGATTATTCATAATGTTGTTCCTAAATTAGTGAATAAATCCTGAACCACATCAAAATTGATGGAATGGTAGACAGTGAAGAAAGTTACTTAAGAGCACAAAGGGATCTCGATCGGTTGGCCCGATAGGCCAAGAAATGGCAGGTGGAGTTTAATTTAGATAAATGCAAGGGTGGAGGGGATCCAACTGGAAGGGGTAGTCCAGTGATAGTCTAGCCAATCTAATTGCATGGGACATGACTGATGGTGTTTGGGGAGATAGGTGATGGGTAGTGCTTTGGGGATGAAGGTGAAGAAGGGTGTGGTCACGTAGAGCAGTGTATTGTGGAAAAGCTCAATGACAGCTGGACAGTCAGTGGTGTTCAGAGGCTGTGTTTCCGTGAGAATCTGACAATGGTCGGGGCTGGGGGAAGGTGTCCAGTCATGGTGGGACGGGGTGCAGACAAATTGTGGAGGTATAATTTCTTGTGGTTTTGGGCTTGGATGAAACCCTTCTTTTCCTGTAAACCCACAAGCAGTGATGAAGTGAGAGAGAAGTACACAGACACAGAAGTTATAGGCCGAGAGATCAATGGACAGAGTGATCAAAAGATCATACGAATGGTGTGAGTGGAGTGTCGAATAATAAGTCTTTGCAGCTGATCAAATGTATTAGACGGTGTGAGGAAAGTGTCAGCAGCTGAATAACAAGTGAAGGGAATGACCTATAATCTGATTAAATGAGGCAGAGAAATAATTGCAAAAAATTGGAGACAAACCAAATGACTGGAATAACATGATAACTATAACAGTCGCATGCCCAGGGTCTAACCAAAGTAGTAAGTGAATCAAAACTAATTAAAGTGGAGAGATCATAACTATTTATCAAGGTGATGTTTTACTGTTCTGTAAAACAGGACAGTAAGAAAGATTTTACAGTACAATATTTTACAGTATCTTTGATTTTTTGTAATTATTTCTCTGCTCATTTAATTGGACTATAGGTCATCCCCTTGCTTGTTAGTCAGCTGTTGACACTTTACTCACGCTGTCTGATACTTTTGACCTGCAGAGACTTTTTATTCAACACTCCACGCACACCATTTGTATGATTGTTTGATCTCTCTGCCTATAAATTCTGTGTTCTGTGTGCTGCTCTCTCACTTCACCTGACGAAAAGACTACGCTCTGAAAGCTTGTGATTTCAAATAAACCTGTTGGACTATAACCTGGTGTCATGTGACTTCTGGTTTAAAACAGATTAAGGTTACAATGAAGCCAAGCAAACTCATTCTAGCACTGAAGAGACTAATCCACTTCTTGGGAATGGATTGATGACCTGCCTGTCATTCTGCCTGTGTTAAAATTGGGAATGAGTGGATTCGGTTCCTGTTCCAGTTGTCTTGCAGTATAACTTATGATTCTATCTGTATTTTCGGTGTTAAGATTCAGCCTAAGATCTCTAAATGTTTAGATTAAGATTGTTTCTAAGAGATTACAAGGGAAACCTTCACTGAGTTTCATTTAGTTTGATTCTGAGCCAGCTTGTAAGTATTGACTGCGGATCTATATAATCAGTGTGCTCTCAGTATGAATCATAAATCATAATGTGTAGGTATTAAATGTAAAAAGATCCACAGTCTTATGAACAGTATTATTCCAGCCTAGTTGTACCTTTTAACATATTTTAACTTGGAGATTTATTCAGAAGATCTTAATAAGGGGAACCAATGCCTAGTGGTATCATCATTAGACTGATAATCCAGAGACCCAGGTAATGTTCTGGGGACCTGGGTTGAAATCTCACCAGGGCAGATTGTGGTATTTGAATTCAATCAAACTGGAATTAGGAGTCTAATGATGATCATGAATCCACTGTAGACTGTTGGGGAAAAGAAAACATCTAGTTCACTAATGTCCTTTAGGGAAAGAAACTGTCACCCTTACCTGGTTTGGCCTACATGTGACTCCAGACCCACAGCAATGTGGCTGGCTCTTAACAGCCCTCTGGCCTGGGCAATAAATACTGGCTTAGCCAGCAGTCCCTCATCCTGCAAATAAATAAAAAAAATCTTAAGAGAAATGCATCTTAAAATGCATGATTATTCCAAAAGTAGAAAAATTGTTTGCAGCATGAAACGGATTGTGTCAATCCGCTGGGGCAGGCAACAGTGTGGACTGTTACCTGCTTGGCCCGCATGTTTTCTCCAATTTTATCAATGAAAATATTGCAGTGAACTGCACCCTGAGTTGCTGTCTGAGCAATAGCATAGTTCTGAATGATGGCAATGGGTATGAATAGATAGTGCTGTCTCTGGGTAACACCACATTTGCTCCTATTTCTTGCATCTTGTGTATGTTCACCCACTTATGTCTCAAAGGTACCATTACTGTAACCACTGCTTCTCCTTTTTAACCTAAGCAATCTTGAATGAGCAAACTGCACTGCCCAAATTTTGGTTTGGCTGGGATCCTAGATTATTTGGTTAACATTTGGTGGTTTGCTGGATGTCAAATTGAAAATCTTGCAATGGAGTTCTTTACTACATTGTAAACATTAAATCAGTCTGTAATTTTAGATGTGTTTATTCAATTCTTACCGTTTTGGTTTTATACCTGTGGGCTTTTCAACCTGCCTGTATCAGTCCAAGGCCCCAGCAGCCTGAAGATCAGTAAAGGAAATGAACTTATCTGCTACAGCAACAAAACATGCAGAGGTGCCCCCTATTTTCCAGATGTGACATTGAATTATTAATTGTATTTGATGTTTTCCAGAAGGATCAGCTTGTCACAAAAATGTCCGGAATGTCTTTTTTGTGTGTCTTTCTTTAAATTCATCCAAGGGATGTGGGAGCAACTGGCTAGGCCAGCATTTATTACCCCCCTCTAATTGCCCAGAGGGCAGCAAAGAGTCAACTCCACTGTTGTGAGCCTGTAGGTAAGGGTGGTGGATTTCCTTCCCTAAAGGACATCAGCAAACCAAACGAGTCTTTATGACAATTGGTAATGTTTACATGGTTGCTGTTGGGCTAGCTTTTTATTAAGTTAAAATTTCGTCGTCTGATTGGAACCCACATCCTCAGAACATTAACCTAAGTTTCTGAATTGCTAGTCTAGAGACATTGCCATTACAGCAGTGCCTCCCTCATTGTCACTGTTGGAGCATGGTATCTATTGTGCGTGTCCAATAAGAAATAATATCGTTAAAGTTTTAACTTCTAACGGAAATAGAACTACAGGGGGCTGACCGCAAATGTAGTGCAACACTTGTCTGTATTCCATGAGATTTATGAAATTTACAACCTGCTATGGGAGCTCAAAGATTTTTTGATATGTGTCCCAGCCCATAGAAATAGAGAACCAGCCTTTCCTTATGATTCAGATATGGTTGTACCTCTGCTCCTGAAAGAAACCTCTCCAGTTAAACGGGAGAACAAAACAACTTGCGCAACTCAAAAATAAAACATTATTTAGTTAGATTTCAGAGTTGCCAGTCTGATATTGAAGACCCACATTTGTTGTCAACTTCACGCCTTTTGTGGAAAACCACATATGGAAATGAGGAAACTTCATTTCCAATAGGAAATTGTTTAAATGCAGTACAAATTGATCATTGGCCTTACTTGAGATCAATCAAAATAGTCTTTGTTCACCATGAATTCATTGATTACAGGGAAATCAATTACATGGAAACTTGTAAGGTTGTCCTGAGCCACTGATATTCGTCAGTTGGCCCAACAGCAATGTGCTGTATTTCACAAACAAATCTGACCAAATTGTCCATCAACTGCCATTATTATATGACTCCCATATTTGCATATTTTTATTTTGCATATTCTGCAAAAGGGTATTTGTTACATATGTGTATGCTATTGTTGTCCTGCTCACCTGCTAACCAGTCTGTCAGCTACATTTATACCACCTAGATTTCAGCAGAAAATATTAACAATATTGAAATTTGAGAAGATGCAACAATGTGTAGACCATACAACCATAATAAATAGGAACAGGAGTAGGCTGTTTGGCCCCTTGAACCTGTTCCGCCATTCAATAGGATCCTGGCTGATCCAACATTCCTCATGTCCACTTTCCTGTCCTTACCCTGTAACCGTTGATTCCCCGACTGATCCTAGAATCTATCTCAGCCATAAATATACATAAGGACTCTGTCCCCATAGCTCTCTGTGGCAAGGAGTTCCAAAGACTCACACCTCTGTGAGAGAGGAAATTCCTTCTCATCTCAGTATTAGATTGGTGCCTCTTTATTCTGAGACAATGCCCTCTGATCCTAAACAGTCTCATGAAGGGAAATATCCTCTCAGCATTTACTCTGTCAAGCCTCTTAAAAATTCTGTATATTTCAATGAGATCAACTGTCATTCATCTAAACTCCAATAAGTAAAGGCCTAACCTGTTTAACTTTTGTGCATAAAATAATCCCTTCATGCCAGGTAAAATACCAGTGAACCTTGTCTGAATTGCCTCCAATGAAATGGTATCTCTCCTTAAATAACGGAACCAAAAATGCTCACAATACTGTAGATATGGTCTCCCAAGCACCTTGTACAGTTGCAGTAAGACTTCCCTACTCCAATCCCCCTGAAATAAGGGTCCACAGTCCATTAGCCTTCCTGATTACCTGCTGCGCCTGGATGATAGCTTTCTATGTCGTAGCCCCAAGTCTGTCTGTGTTGCAGCTTTCTGCAGCTTTTCTTTATTCTGTTCTTTTGTTCTGCCTTTCAAAATGAACAACTTTGCATTTTCACATGTTATATTCCATTTGCCAACTTTATACCCACTAATTTAACCAATCAATATACTTCTGTAATCTGTTTGCATCCCTCTCACAACCTGCCTTCCAACTACTTTTGTATTTTCTGCAAATAGGAGTCAGACAAATTCTGAGGACGCTGAAGAATTCTTCTGGGAATTATAAATTGATTTTCATGCATTGATTATGTTCTAGGCCCAGTTCTGGTGATCACTGAGTACTGCTGTTTTGGTGACCTTCTGAACTTTCTGAGAAGGAAACGAGATTCATTTGTTTGGCCAGAACATAAAGAACAGGATATGGCAAAGACACAATATGAGAATATTCCAAGTCTGAGGGATCCTGTGAGGTAAAAAAAAGAACCTAACACTATGAATATCTCCGACCCGTTAACATGGTTGTCATCTATATGTTAAGTGAATAAAATAGTTTTTATTTACTATTTTTTCAAGTTACCACACTGGACAGCCAAAATTTCAAAAAGACCCACTCTCTGTATTCCATTTTATTCCCTTTTTATTTCAAATGCTTTAATGAGCTAATCTGATTAACAAGCTCAATGATAAACAGCTCAATGCCCTGTTAATATCTAAGTCTCATGCACTAACAACAACAATATGTGAGTGGATTTAAAACTTGATTCAGGTAGCAAGCAGGATGTCTTAAACATGACCCAATCCAAATTTGGACCAGATGAAAAGACATTGATCTAAAATATTAAGTTTGCTCTTCCTCTCTTCACATGTGAGGAGAATTTCACAGGCCTGCATAAGGCAGGGGCAGGGGCAGGGGCAGTTTGAGGTGAATAAAATACGAACTCATCATTGAGGAATTTGTTAAAGAGGGGACTGTGGGTCAGGAAGTTCCAGCATTGAGCCCAGACGTGTGTTCCCTCCATCAATATAACTAGTAAACTTTTTCAAAATTTCTTTGGCCAATCCTTTGTAGGCTGCAAGGTCGCTGTCTCCCTCAGCACTGACCACCATTCCTGATGGTGCTGCTGAGGTTACTGTTCCTCTGTCCTCCGATTGGACCAGCAGCTCTACTGGGCGCTGGAGGTTAATATGGATAAATATGAAGTTACCCATTTTGGTTGGAGGCAGAGAAAGGCAACTTATTATCAGAACGGAGAGAAACTTCAGAGTGTTTTGGTGCAGAGGGTGTCCTTGTGCATGAATCACAGAAAACTAGTCAGCGGCAACAAATGGAATTTTGTTATTTTTTGCTAAAGGAATAAAGTATAAAAATAGGGAAGTACAAGGCATTAGTAAATCATTCTTGGGGTATTAAGTTCATTTTTAGTCCCCTTATATGTGGCTGCATGGAGGAAACTCAGAGGAGGTTCACTGCATTGGTTCTAGAGATAAGGGGATTGTCAGAGCTTGAGCATATTAGGCCTATATTCTCTAGAGTTTAGAAGTATGAGAGGAAATCTAATTGAAATATTGACGATATTAAAGGGAATTGACAAAGTAGACATAGAGAGGATATTTCTCGTTGTGGGGCAATCAAGAACAATTGAGGTCAATGTTTCAGGATAAGGCATGGCAGATTAAAACATAGATGAGGAGGAATTACTTCTCTCAAATCATCATGCATCTGTGGAATTGATGATCCTAGAGTGTGATGGATGCCAGGACACTGTGTATTTAAGGATGAGATTTTTAATTAGTGATGTGCTAAAGGGTTATGGAAAGCAGAAAATGGAATTGAGCCGAGGTGAGACCAGCCATGATTGTCTTGAATGGCGGAATAGGCTTGAGGGGGCTGAATGATCTACTCCTGCTCCTAGTTCTTATGTTTTTATGTCCTGCAGTTACTGGTAACCAAATGGCAGCTTATTCGTGAGCTGCACAAGGCAAATGTCCTGCTGGCCAACCAGAATTTGCTGTGCATTTCCAGCTGCTACTGGGACTCTGACTCTCTTGGAAAATTCTGTCCATGCTTCCTGCCCTGCAGATCACTTTCCAGCGTTTATTTATTTTTATTTCTAATTTTGGGTCGGCCATTTTTCAGGCATTCCAGCAGTAGAGGATGCTGGTCAATGAATTTGGACATGTATTCTGTATGAACAGATAATCCGACTTAAATGGAGGTTCATGAGAAAGATTTGTTTCAATAACTGTGGGTTAAAAGATTTCCACTAAAAGCTGTTGTTGTTCATTTACATCCTTCAGTAACCTTTTATAAAGTGAATACTCTTTCCACCCTGTCCCTTTTGTGGTTGGACTGAGGCATTGTATTGTGTGACAGGAACATAATGACGTGGTAACTCACAATTAAATCATTTTCCAGGCAAAAATATTGCAGTCACCACTTACCTAATTGCATTCACTTCTAAAGCAGTTTTATTTAGCTGTCATAAAACAATCTGCTTTATTTGTCCATTTGGCATTATACTTCAATAACCCTGCTAGCCCATCTTTCAACATTTTCCTTCAGTAAATCACTAATTGTTTTAAATAATTTTAATGAACTGCATATTAGTTACTTTTTTATTTACAGACTTATTCATAGCTTGCAGACTAGCTCATGGACATTTTTGGATGTTAAAATAAGCTATTGTGTAAGATAGCAAAAGCCAAGATATTCTATCTGCCTGAAAACAAAAATATTATTGATTTGCTTCACCACTTGCTAGAAGTTAATAACAATCTTTTATATCACTCGATTCCTTGCTACAGCAATGGTTCTGGATCATATATGGAAATGAAGCCAAGTTGCACAGCATTGCCACAGAAACATGTGGACAAAAGAAAATCCCCAAGCAAGGGTAAGATGTGTGTGAATGTGCAGAACATAACATGTCAGCAGATAGGCTTGCAGTTTATTTTCATAGAAAGAAAATTGTTTACAAATGATGCAAGATTCCTGAACAGCAGAATTGAGGATTTGCTTGCTCACTGGTCTTGGTACCTGAGTTCCCATGATAGAGAATGATCTGACTAAATGGAGATATGAATGCAGGATAATCAGAAAAATGCACTGGGACTGGAACATGACCTGCTTTTCACCAGCTCACTACTGCTTGCTTTAACTCTCAGAACTTTCCAGCAGAATCTGTCCAAGTACAGGCAGGTATAATGCATGCTAATGATCGAGTCACATCATGTACTGCAATTCCTGTGATAAGAACCCCAGCAACGTTGAATACAAGGCATGTTCCTAGTACCAAACATTTCAGAAATGATTCAAATATTGAATATTTTCATAAAAGACTGTGCAGTATCCTGTTCCGTGAAATTGTTGATTTATTTTAAAAAGTCACCACATTTGCCTCAGTGAACCCACTGGCAACCAACCTTATCCAGCTGTTACAGTACCTGAAATCTACAGCTGCAGCTCGCCTGCCTTTCCAGGTGGGCAGCAAGCAGGAAAACTGCCAGAATTGTGGCGAACTGAGGGGAACAGGGCTCGAGTGGATCATGATCTCATGCTGCATTTTTCACTAAAGCACAAAACCCCATCTTCCAACTCCAGGCCTGATTCAATCTTTGAAGGATTTCAATTCAAAAGGGAAAAATATAGATATTTGCATTTATAGCATTTGTCTTGATCAGCAGATGTCTCAAAGCAGCTTGTAGTCAATGAAGTACTTCAAATATATTCATCGTTGTAACGTAGAAAATGTGGCATCTCACTTGTGCTCAGTTAACTCACACAAACAACAACTTTAAAATGACACAATAATGTGTTTTTTTTGTGATGTTGTTTTTGGGATATATTTTGACTAGGACACTAGGAGTAACAATTGTACAGGTAAACATGACCTTTGTTCAATGTTTTAGCTCCAACAGTGCAGCACTCCCTCATTACTACATTGGAGTGTCAGCCTTGATTTTTCGCTCAAACCCTGGAGTAGGAGTCAACCACCAGAATCTCTTGATTCACAGGCAAATACAGTATTTACTAACACACAGCTGGTGCATGAACTGTAACAATCTGACAACTTGTTGCAACACTGCATTCAATGCTGCACTTGCATAGCTGTAACACTGACCTTCCTTTTACATGTTGGTCATGCAATTATGGCATCAAAGTCGAATTTGACAGAATGTATCATCTTTGTATGCAAATAAATTATGTTTTCTTTAAAACCGATATTGGAAGGTCTCAAAGTATAACCAAATGCTGTAATTCCAGTTTGTAAACATGCAAAAGAATTATTTGGATTGAATCACATCTATGTGATACTCAAACTGTAACTTTAAATTGAAGAGTTATACAGAGAAAATACATTAGAAAAGCATGCAAAGAACTGATATTTGTATGTATTTGAATTGTAAATAAGTGGATTTCACTGTTTTGACTTTTTTATGCTGCAAGTGCTCATATAAGTCTAAATAATTTACCCCGCAGACCATGTTACAATGGTGACTATACTTAAAGGTATTTCATTGGCAGTAAAAGCACTTTGGGATTCCCTGATGTCACAAAAGACACTAAATAAATTGAACGAATACAGTTTTTCCATTTGCACCAAATATCAAAGCAATTTGGAAAAAAATCATGTAAATTAATGCAAATTATATTTTCATTTTTGCATTTTAATGATCATTTTCAATTAATGTCAAATATTTTGTTGGTTAGAATCATACAGTGATAAGGAAAACAACAATGCTGTCACTGAAGAATATAACTTGGCTTTGGAAATTGAAGATCTTCTCATCTTTTCTTATCAAGTTGCAAAGGGAATGAACTTCCTTTCTTCTAAGAATGTAAGCTTTCATTATTGAACATATTGTTGGTGATGACCATTTCAGATTCATAATTCTATTAAGTGTAAATATTATTGATATAGTCATTATACACTGTATTAAATCACATATTTCACTTATTACAGTGCATTCACAGAGACTTGGCAGCAAGAAATATTCTTCTAACCAATGGACAAATTGCAAAAATATGTGATTTTGGTCTGGCTAGAGATATCAGGAATGATTCCAACTATGTGGTGAAAGGCAATGTAAGTCATTCTGGAGGGTTAACCACTGGTGTCTGAGACACAACCAACAGGAACTCTGGCGTGTGCAGTTCTAGACCATCAGAACATCTGAAATGTAACTGTGGGAACACAAACACACATCAGATCACCATCTGATCACCAAGAACTCAGACAGATGTCCACACTGAACTGTCAGGGACTCCGACATATATCACAGTATCATCCTTTAATCTGCCTGTTGGCAGTACTGTTCCTGATCAATGTGTTCTCCTACCCTCTCCTTTGCAAAGCATCCTGACACCTCTGAGATACTTTTTCAAATGCATGATTGTAATCGGCATCTCAATTTGTCTGTAAATCTCTCGGAATATTTTACACACCCCATATGACAAGGCATCCTTATATGAGTAATCCGATAATTAGATTTTGATTTATTTTGTGTAGATGGTCTTGAAAATAGGTTCATTACATACTCACAGTCACCTTTAGTTAAACAATCTTCTTTAAATTCAGGCTCGTCTTCCTGTGAAATGGATGGCTCCAGAGAGTATTTTTGACTGTGTGTACACATTTGAGAGTGATGTCTGGTCTTATGGCATTTTATTATGGGAAATTTTCTCATTAGGTAAGATTGCATCCCTTTTGCCTTTTCATTATAGTACTAATTGCTTTAATAGTATGCACTTGTATGGAAGCCTGTAATGAATGGTTTAACATTCTTTCATTATAGGGAGCAGCCCTTACCCTGGTATTCCTGTGGACAATAAGTTCTATAAAATGATCAAGGAAGGGTACCGAATGCTAAGTCCTGAACTTGCACCTACTGAATTGTAAGTAAATGATTTTCTCTAATTGGTTACAGGACAAACTGTCTTTTTTTGTGATTATCCTTTAGTTGCGTGTAAGGGTTTGCTCAGACAACAGCTTGACATTTTGCCAGATTTGAAACAGTAACCATTATCCAGTTTAGCAGTTCATTGTCAATAAGCCAAAGTAAGCACACGTGCGATGCTTAATCATTTGTGTTGCAGATTAGTTGTTTTGTTTAGGGGATGTGAAGTCATGGTGTTTTACATCGCTTCAGGTGTTACAACTTCATCCTGTAGCCAGCTGTCAGTTTCCATAAAAGCAGTTCATTATGAATTGTGTGTGATTTTTCTGACCACTTGTAGTACATCATTTTCCTCTTGCTTGTATTCCTTTGTGATCGTTATGAATGGAGGCAAATGTCCATCCAAACCAATTGCTAACTTGTTCAGCCATCTAATTTTAGTTATTTTCAAACTGATCTGTTCAGATCTAAATCTATGTAACATAATAATATTTTTATCATAGTGAGCTGCGTAATAAATACGATGCTAGTAAGACCATTTCAATGTTTGTTTGGTTCAGTGATAAGGTCTCTAATTTAAAAAGTTATGGTTTAAACCTTGCTCCAGAACCTAAGGATATTAATCATTTTGGTACTGAAGACTGCTGTTATTGGAGCCAGATCTGCTCTTATAATATGATGTGGAGACGCTGGTGTTGGTCTTGGGGGACAAAGTCAGAAGTCACTCGACACCAGCTTATAGTTCAACAGGTTTATTTGAAAAAAAAACAAACTTTCTAAGCTCTGCCCCTTTGTCAGGTGAAGTGGAGGGAAGTGCATAGGCATAGAATTTATAGGCAGAGAGATTATTGCGAGATAATTCTAGGTAATTAAGAGTGTCAAAAGATAGTACAAATAACTTGAGTGGAATGTTGACAGGCTGAATAAAAAGTCTTTGCAGGTGATCACAACTGTCAAATGGTGTGAGTAAAGTGTCAACAGCTGAATAGCAAGTGAAGGGATGACCTATGATCTGATTAATTAAAATAGAGAGATAATTACAAAAAATCAAAAATAAAATGGTGCTAGAGACAAGAGCTTGTGTTTTCAAATAAACCTGTTTGGATTATAACCTGGTGTCATGTAACGTCTGATTTATAATATAGCCCTCTCTACTCAGATGTATTCAAAAGACAGCAGGTAAGACTCAAGAACAAAAACAGAAGTTGCTGGAAAAGCTCAGCACAGCTCAGAACAGTTCTGAGGAAGGGTCACTGGACCTAAAACACTAACTCTGATGTTTTCTTCACAGACACTGCTAGACCTGCTGAGCTTTTCTAGCAACTTCTGTTTTTATTCCTGATTTACAGCATCTGCAGTTCTTTCAGTTTTTACTTAGCAGGTAGACTCATCCATTGTCATCACTAACAGTCACTCCTGAATAAATGCCACCAAAGCAGATTAGCTATGCAAATTTGCTGTCACATTTACCTACTTAGAAAGTGAAGATACTTCAAAATAATTAATTGACAATTTGGAATGCCATGTAAATTGAAAGGTCATCTTAAATTAAACACAATAGCAATTGAATAAAATTTATTATTGGATATAAATATTGCTCTTTCTATTTGCTTAAAACTAATATTGCTGAATTCCAGTTAATTATTCATACAGTGCAATATTCGAAGACCTGAAGGAAACACATTTGATTCTCCAAAAGCGATGCCTGAGAAATCAATGCCTGAAAGTGGATCAGATAGGGCAGATAGAGAGAACCCATTTTTGCTTGATGTTGAGTCTCAGACTAGGGGAATAATTTAATATTTGGAGCTAGATATTTCAGGGGTGAAATTAGAAGACCTGTTATAGATCTCAGTGGAATCTTAGGGCAGTACGGTGGCTCAGTGGTTAGCACTGCTGCCTCACAGCACTAAGGGTCCAGGTTTGATTCCACCCTTGGGCAACTGTCTGTGTGGAGTTTGCAAGTTCTCCCCGTGTCTGCGTGGGTTTCCTCCGGGTGCTCTGGTTTCCTCCCACAGTCCAAAGAGGTGCAGGCTAGGTGGATTGGCCATGCTAAATTGCCGATAGTGTTCAGGGGTGTGTAGATTAGGTGGGTTTGGGGAATGGGTCTGGGTGGAATGCTCTGAGGGTTGGTGTGGGCTTATTGGGCCGAAGAGCCTGTTTCTACACTGTAGGGATTCTATGGAAATGGAAAAGTTCACACAGGGCAAAAATAGTCATTTTCATGAATAAAAGAACTTCAGTGTTAATAGGGAGATGGTGTATTTGGGTAGAATGAATATGGACTTCACATACTGTTTGAGTGGTAAGCATATGAATGAGTGGAGGAGCAAAGGAATACATAAGTCAGGAAAAGCAGCAGCACTGAATTCAACCCATACAAAGAAAACTAGGTATTAGTTTTCATTTTTGGAAGGATAGAATTAAAAAACTTTGAAGCAAAAGAATTGACATTAAAAATTAAATAGAACATTCGTCAAATCACACTTTAAAGCAAAGCTTCCTGTGGTTTGCCTTAGGTCATTTTACTAGGTCAAAGGCACTTCATAATGACAAAAGAATATAGACAATGCAGAAGGTGCAATAAGATTCACAACATTGATACCATATCAGAGCTGTTGTAGCCATTAGGCCTTTACAGCCCCCAGCTCTCTCAAAACTAATCTAATATCTGAAGAATCTAAAGCTCTCCTTCCTGCAGCATCTCTCCAACAAGCATCTTTGAATAATAGAATCATACAGTATAGAAGAGGCCCTACGGCCCAGTAATTCTGTACTGCCAAAGCTACACTAAATCTACACTAGCCCCACCTTCTCACTAGGCCCATAGCCTTGTTACAGAGATTGTAGGAACTGCCAATGCTGGAGAATCTGAGATGACAAGGTGTAGAGCTGGATGAACACAGCAGGCCAAGCAGCATCAGAGGAGCAGGAAAGCTGACGTTTCGGGTCTAGACCCTTCTTCAGAAA